GCAATAGGCCCAAGAAGGGAACTGGGGCCCAAGGTTAAATGGTGCTTATGTATTCCTACATTTCCATAGGGCCATTTCTTCCTTCTTTTTAAATATATTTCCATTAAAAAATTATCAATGGTAATACTTAGCCAGAATAAAGGTCCCTCAAGGTACCAAGTCCTCGCTGATCTCCAGAATCTGGGAATGTTACCTTTTATGGCAAAGGGACTTGGAAGATGAGGTTACATTGTGTATCTAACGATGGGGACTTTATCCTCCTGGGCCCAATATAGCCACTAGGGTCCTTACAAGTTGTGACTGTTAGGTTTTTTGTGCCAACAGGGCTCCCATAGGAAGAGGTGGATGGAATTTAGCCTGTCAATCGGGTTGCAGCTTGATTGGAGGACAACCGAGATAAATGGTTTGCCTGATGGAGGCCGACCCGCCGACCCCCCCTGCTTTCACCTTCCTGTTGATGTGTTACACGGAGCCGTAGTGAGACCTGGGAGAGCCCTGAAGATGCTTCGACTGCCACTGGATCCACAAGACTTTGCACCCACTGACCTGTTATCTTTCTGCATTTTGCACCATTGTATGTAGCTGCATGAGTCTGAAGAGGGATTTATGGGCTAGTATTAGACTTAAGGGCTAATATAGGGCTTATGGACTTGATTTGGCCTGGACTGGGATGTTTTCTTGATATCCAATTACTCCTTGATATAAAGTTCTTTCTTTTCTTTTCTTTTTTAAATTGTCTTATTGGGGGCTCATATAACTCATCACAATCTATACATCCAGCAATTGTGTCAAGCACATTTGTATATTTGTTGCCCTCATCATAATATATATCTTTTTTTCCCCAAGCATATTTGTACATTTATTGCCGTCATCATTCTCAAAACATTCGCTTTCTACTTGAGCCCTTGGTATCAGTTCCTCATTTTCCCCTCCCTCCCCTCTCCCCTCCATTATGAACCCTTGATAATTTATAAATTATTATTTTTTCATGTCTTACACTGTCCAACGTCTCCCTTCACCAACTTATCTGTTGTCCGTTCCTCAGGGAGGGGGGTATATGTCGATCCTTGTAATTGGTTCTCCCTTTCTACCCCACCTTCTCTCCACCCCCCCTGTATCACCACTCTCACCACTGATCCTGAAGGTTTCACCTGTCCTGGATTCCCTGTGTTTCCAGTTTCTATCTGTACCAGTGAACATCCTCTGGTCTAGCCAGATTTGTAAGGTAGAATTGAGATCATGATATTGGGGGTAAGGAAGCACTTAAGAACTAGAGGAAAGTTGTAAGTTTCATTGTTGGTACACTGCAGGCTGACTGGCTTGTCTCCTCCCCATGATCCTTCTGTAAGGGGATATCCAGGTGCCTAGAGATGGGCTTTGGGTCCCCAATCTGCACTCCCCCTCATTCACAATGGTATGATTTTTTTTGTTCTTTGATGCCTGATACCTGATACCATCGACACCTCATGATCACACAGGCTGGCATGCTTCTTCCATGTGGGCTTTGTTGCTTCTGAGCTAGATGGCCACTTGTTAACCTTTAAGCCTTTAAGACCCCAGACGCTATATCTTTTGATAGCGGGCACCATCAGCTTTCTTCACCACATTTGCTTATGTACTTGCTTTGTCTTCAGCGATTGTATCGGGAAGGTGAACATCATGGAATGCCAGTTTAATAGAACAAAGTGTCTTGCATTGAGGGAGTGC